ACTTGGGGGCAGTCACATCAAAATAAACTTGGCAGCACAGGGTCATCAGGTGGATGAAGGATGTTATGGACTCAACTGTGTTCCCTCCAAATTCATATGGTGAAACCCTAAACCCCAATGTGACAGTATTTGGAAATAGGATCCTAAGGAGATAATTAAGATAAAATGAGGTCATCAAAGTGGAACCTTAATCCAATAGGATAGGTGTCCTTATAAGAAGAGGAAGAGACACCAGCAACACACACACCCAGAGAAAAAGGCCATGTGAGGACCCAGCAAGGAGGTGACTGTCTGCAAGCCAGGAAGAGAGGTAGCAGCAGAAACCAAATTTCCTAGCACTCTGATCTTGGGTTTCCAGCCTCCAGAACAATGAGAAAACGAATACCACTCAGTCTGGTATTTGGTTATGGCAGCCTGCACAAACTACCACAGAGGTCTTGAAATTTAGCTTTCTTGAGTCATTCAGTACTAGGTTTCAAGACAATTTGCTCAGGAAGAAATTATAATTCAGGGAACTTTTGGTACAATCAGGGGTCTACCCATCAGCTGACAACAGTACATTGGTCCCAGCCCCAAGAGAAGAGCAAAGTCTATTCATGTTACTGTAATGGTTGGTCTCAGTGCAAGAGAAGCAGGCCTTTCCCAATTTTCCCAAAGCAAACCTTTACTAAATAAAATCAGCTTAAACATTCAACAGTCAAGTGTATCATCTTACAGAAAAACTCTTTAACTCAAAACCTAAATAAAACTCATTGTCATTGTTATTAAACTTCTGTGTTCTCATTATTTACCACTTCTCTTTCTAGTTCAGAGAGATGCTCCTGACTTCTTTCACTGGCTTCAGTTCTGAGACATCAGGACGTTAAAACTACTGATCTTTGAGATTTCTTTCAGAGGAAACTCCTCCAAGTTTTATTTCCTGCGGCAGGCTGTGACTTCAAACTCTGTGTTTCCTCTTTCATCTCTCAGAGGACAAACTATGATAGGGGGGAAAAAAATAGCCCCTCTTCTTTCTGATTGGTTCTCCCTATGCTTTTACCTTCCACATGTGAGGCAGAAAGAAAGGTGAAATGTCAATTACACATAAATAGATAGATAGATAGATAGATAGATAGATAGGTAGATGATAGATAGACTCACAAGCTTCCAGGGATTTTGCTTTTTTCCCTTTTATTCAATATGCCAGTTCACTTGAGTCTTTGTTGAGTATCCTGTTATTAAAACAATAGCAGCAGTGCTGCTTGATTTTGATTGAGCCACACAAATTATGATTATAAAAGCTTGAGTTGTTAATGCATTGACTTAGAATTTTTCTTTGACTGTTTCTTAGATGTTGGTTTATAGCTAGATTGTAAGCTTGTTGCAGATAAAGAATATATTCTCTCTTTGCTTGGCCAAACTACCAGGCATAAAACAATGCAGGGTATCCACTGGGTGTTTTCAATAACTTACACATGTGAAAATAAACATGTGAAGGCTGTACTTTCTATTAATGCCATATTCGGGACACTGAGCATTTCATAAAAAGGGGGTTTTAATAAAATTGAACCTATCTACTTAGTGCAGGAAAGAGATGTTATTGTAGAAATGTCCATAAAAACATAATGTTACACTGTTTTCTGTTATATTTTATAGATAAGATTTTTTTATTCCTAGTTTTACAGAATATAACAAAATATGGACACACGAAGATGTTAATTTTTTTAAAAGATTTTATTTATTTATTTGACACAGAGAGAGACAGCGAGAGAGAGAACACAAGCAGGGGGAGTGGGAGAGGGAGAAGCAGGCTCTCCGCTGAGCAGGGAGCCCGATGTGGGGCTTGATCCCAAGACGATGGGATCATGACCTGAGAGGAAGGCAGACGCTTAACGACTGAGCCACACAGGTGCCCCTTAATTTTGTTTTTTAAAAGTTATCTCTATGCCCAATGTGGGGCTCAAATGCATGACCCCAAGATCAAGAGTCACATGCTCCACCAACTGAGCCAGCCAGGTGCCCCAAGATGCTGCTTTTTTTATTTCTGAAATTTCTCGTTTGTATTAAAGTGGCAAGAATGGGCATTTATACTTAAGGAGACACACCCACCCCAATCTCTAAGCTCATTAATTTATTAACTGGAGTCAAAATGTATGATCACCAAGAAACAATTTATAATGCAATGAAAATGATAAGCTTCACTTTCTGAATAATATCAGAGCAAATGATTCCATGAGAATACTGGTCGAGTGGTCTTCCCAACCTCAGGAGTGATCACTTAAATCTTGTAACTAGGAGAGCTATTAATTACACATAAGATAAATCCAACTTAATAGCCACAACTCAATAATTTGTTCAGTGCCTTTTCATGTTTTAGGACATTTTAAGTCTCAAAAAAGAAAAGAAGGAAGGAAGAAAAGAAAAGAAGGAAGAAAGGAAAGGAAAGGGAAGAGAAAAAGAAAACTAGCACTTGAAATTTTAATTATTAGGCTCAACACAAATCTTTCTTCATCCTTGATATTATTAAAAGTTATACCCTCACAGTGTTACACCAAAATATCAGCAGACCCCTCCTTTATAATTGCTAGTTTGCAGAGTCCCTACTGTTGCTACCAGAACATGCTGTGATATATTGGAAATTCCTAAAAGGTAGTTGGTGCAGAGATTAGGATGTAAGCCCTGGGCCCTGAACTGGGGTAGGGCATGATGCAAATCTTGGCTCTGGAATTGCTGTTTGTATGAGCCTCGGTAAGCTAATCACGGTGAGGGGCAGTTCATTCCAGGGTACAATTCAGATAACAATAGCTCTTCTATAACAGTACTGTTAGAAACATTAAGTGAGATAACATCTATAAAATTAGGACTTAACATAGTGCTTGGCATATAATTTTAGATGCTTAATAAATGTTACCTATAATTAGATCACAAAGTAAAAATTGGAGGAAAACAAGGAGAATAATCACAAGATGAAACTATACTTTTGAATCTGTTATCTATGATTCTTAAAAAATATGTTAGCTATTTAATATTTGACCAGTGAATGTAAATATTCTTGCCTATACTGTATCTAAACTAGAAGGTAGTCTTTTATAATTGCTGTAAGATTCTGTTGGAAATGATAATTTCTTAAGACAATAAACATGCTGGATGGCATTTTCATCTTATTATAAGCCAAATTTCATCCCTACAAAATAAAATACCTAAAAATATACTTGCTTTTAGAGATAACAAGTGTTATCGAGGGTGTGGAGAAGAGGGAACATTTGTTGACTGTTGGTGGGAATATAAATTGATGTATCCACTATGAAACACAGTATGGAGGTCCCTCAAAAAATTAAAAATAGAACTACTGTATGATATAGCAATCTCCCTTCTGGATATATATTCAAAGTAATTGAAATACAGATCTAGTAGAGATACCTGCCTGCACTTTCAGGTTCATTGCAGTATTATTCACAATAGCCATGATATGAAAACAACTTTAAGTGTCCGTCAATGAACAAGTGGATAAAGAAGATGTGGTGTGGGGCACCAGGGTGGCTCAGTCATTAAGCGTCTGCCTTCGGCTCAGGTCATGATCCCAGAGTCCTGGAATCGAGCCCTGCATTGGGCTCCTGCTCAGCGGGAAGCCTGCTTCTCCCCCTCCCGCTCCCCCTGCTTGTGTTCCCTCTCTCGCTGTGTCTCTCTCTGTCAAATAAATAAATAAATAATCTTTAAAAAAAATTTTTCAAAAAAATTAGCATGAATGATAAGCATTTTAAATGCACATGCCACCCACACTATGAGGGTAGTGTTCTTCTTACTCTCATTTTATAGATGAGGAAATTGAGGCTCAGAGGAATTAAGACTTGCTTAAGGCCACCCAGCTAATGAATATCATTGTAGGGGCTCAACTCCAGGGCTCTGACTCTATGCCCCATACTCTGGACCACTACCCTGATGTCAAACAGAGCAGGGCTTCAACTCCTACCTCTGCTGCCTCCTGGCTGTGGGACTTTGGGCAAATCACCTAACCTCTATGAGCCTCAGTTTTCCCATCTGTCAAATGGGGATCATGACAGCTAGCTCATGTAGGAATAGGCAGAATTACAAGATATAATGTGGGTAAGGTAGAATGCTGCCTGACAGATTGTAAACACTCAACACATTCTATTACTCTGATAGGAACTCTTGTGAAGCACCTATCAACTGCAGACAGGTTTGAGAGCCTTCTGGGTATGTTCCATCTTCCCACTAGCCTGGAAGCACCTTGAGGGCTGGGATTTGGTCTCACAAACACCCCCATCTCCCCATGCCTGGCACGCAGCACATTCTCAGGCACTGCATATTGAAGGAAGCTGACCAGCGGAAGCCTCCAGCTTTGGGCCTCAACAGATTGGTGTGAACGGCCCAGTGAGGCAGAAACAGCAACTGTCACAAGCCATTAGGGGTGCCCCTCCCCATCTCTCCTCGCCTCCCTCCGGCCCCCTTTCCTTTCTCCACAACTAGTCACAGCCCCAAGGGGAGAGAGGTCTGGATCGAAGACAGAACCCACTTCCTCTGCTACCGACCAGGTTCCAGAAACCTGTTAGTGCCCCATCCCGCACAAGCCGCCCGCCCCTGCCCACACTGGCTCTGGACTCTGCTCTGAGAATATGGACCATGGATGCAGACAGCAGCAGGGGACCCAGAGCCAGGGACCCAGGCTCAAATCCTGACTGTGCTTCCAGCCAGCTTTGTGGCTGTCAGCAAGCTGCCTTCCCTCTCTGGGCCTGTTTCCTCCTGTGCTCACACTGCCAACTCCACGTGGTGTGGGGACCGAGAGAATCACAGATGTGAGAACACCCTGAAAGATGTATACTTGGGCAGGGAGAAGTCTGGAGTAGGAGTCAGGCAGTCCTAATTTGAGTCTCTGTTTTCTGTCCTTAGACAAATGCTCTGACTTCTCTAGGCTTCAGTTTCCTTATCCATCAAATGGGCCCTTTGGGCTCTGATGGTCTTTGGTTCTGAGAGCCGGATTCTAAGGAACTCACTCTCTGAGCCCTTAGATTCCTGTTCTAAGGAAGATGACAGAAAAGCCTGAGCCCGCTTTGATCCCAAGGGTGGGAAGGAGAGCAAGTGTAAAGGGACAAGGGCTGTCTTCCTGAGTGCCCTGCCCTCCCCCCTCCCCACCAGGGCCTCAGCTCACTCACCTCCTCTGCCCGCTGGGCCTGGGGATGGTTGTCCAGAAAGGTGCCCTCCAGGACGGAGCCCACAATGGTCAGGCCCTTTCCCGCCTTGAGCTGGGAAGTCAGTGAGAGAAGCTGTGGGTGTACCACGTTCTGGTCTTGGTCCACGCGCACCAGCACCAGCAGCTGTGGCCTGCAGAGGATGCAAGGTGGGCCATACAATACCCACCCAATCTCCACCCACTGTACACCACACACCCACGCACCATAAGCCAGTGAGTTTACTAGCCATCCGTCCTCTATACCCCCATCCCCTACCCGTCCACCTAAACATCCATCCACCCATCCATTTCCTTGAACATCAACCCATCCAACCAGCTCCCGCACAGCCACCCACCCACCCACTCATCTCTCAACCACCTCACTCACCCATCCATCCATTCACCCACCCATCCATTTTATCCATCAGTCACCCACTCATATCCATACTAATTTACCTATACATGCATTAGTCACCTAATTACCTGACATCCACCTGCCACCGTCCATTCACACATTCATCTGTCAGCAATCACCCTCCGATACATATATACACTTGGCCATTGACCCAACTATTTATCCACTCATTTCCTTTTTCATTTGGCCACCCCATCCATCCCACTGCCCATCAGTTTAAGAGCATTCTCTAAGCACTCGGGGCTAGACGTTGTGCCAAGCATTTAAGAATTCACAGACAAATAAGGCAAAGCCCTGGTCTCTGGAAGCCCCAGTTCAGTAGACATCAGCAAGAGCAAGCCAACAATGTCCTAGGCATAGTTCAGAGTTCAGGCCTTCCTCTTGGCCAAGTGACTTGAGGGAGATGAGTGAGGGCCGGGCTCACAGAACCGTCAGCTAAAAAGCACCCTGGGTTGAGAGGCGGGAGGTAAAAATTCTGCTTCCAGTTCTGACTTCCGTGGCCTCTGAGACCCTCTCTGGCCCCTGACTTCCACACAAATAAAGTGGAGAGATTGTTCTGAATCTCAAGATTTCTAGGATCCCCCATAACTCCCCAGGTGAATGCAGCCACCTCCCCCAGAGTAAATGCTACACAATATTACATTCGTCTGTCTCTGTGTGGGGCCTTCTCCATGGAACTGTTAGCTCACTAGGTCCCCACAGGCTGGAAGGAGGCCTGGCACATGGCACATACCCTGCATTCGTACATTTTCTAAACACACGATGGAATGAACAGAGGGATGAAGAGATGGTAGCTCAGGCCGGCCCGGGGGCTGTAGGTAGGAAAGGTCAGATGAGGCTGGGCTGAGAAGGGGAGGTGAAGGGCAGCCCATTGTGGGGGGGACAGCACACACTGAGCAAAGCTGGTGAGGAAAGTCAGACCCTGCTCCCTTCCCCTGGGCCCCTCCACGTGTGCCTGGCCACTTACCTCCAGTTCTTGGTATGTGGGGGCCCTTCCTCCAGGCGTAAGAGGGCGTAGCGTGCCGCGCTGAGGGACAGGCCTCGGATCCCATCACCCCACTCCTTCTCAGCCCTGGAGGCCCAAGGGGATCAACCAGGGGTGTCAGAAAGACCCATGCACACTGAAGTGGCTGCCCCAGGGCAGAAAATGTGCAGTCATTCTGCCACCTCCTTTGCTCAAAGCTTCAGCCCCTCCCTCAGCTCCTGTCCTCTATCCCGCAATCCCACACCTATCACCCCTTTCCCTCCCCCACTCTTACCTCATCCCCACCCCCTCCCATCCCTTAGCCTCTCCCAGCCCTCCCCATTCCCCCCGCCTCCTGTGCTTACCCACGGTACTCGATATACTTGTAGATGAGCCCAGCAATGAGCATGGCCACCAGCGCGTAATACCAGGAGCAGATAAACATGAGGGCCAGGCAGAGGCTCATGCCCAGGAAGGAGAGTGTCCTGGACAATGGGAGGAAGGCCCAGCCTCTGAGCCCTGGCAGGACTGTCACTGGTGCTGGGGCTCAGACAGCAAGAGTTAGATGGGGTAGGGCCTGGGCAAGCACTGGGAGGTCTAGGATTGCTCAGGTCTGGGGGAGCTCACACCATCATCTTCATGAGCAGCACCATAGGGATATGGGATCTTCTGGATGAACGAGCAGCCACAGACAGGGCACCACCCCAAGCCCCACCCAGCTCCTTGTCCCAGTGTCTTCTTAGACCCTGCTAGACCACCCTGCCTGAGGGCTTCCAAGGCAGAGGTCTCTGGAGTGAGTTGTAGGCAGGATCTCCCGGTAAGAGTGTGCCCCCAGGAAGAGGTGACTGGCAGAGCAGGAGCACTACAATGGGAGTCGGGCAGCCCAGGTTCTAGTCCAGGTATGCCATAGTCTTTCTGGGTGACTTGGGGCCAGTCCCTTCCCCTCTTTGAACCTGTTTCCTTTCTGTAGAACAAGTATGGTCATTCCTGCCCTGTCTGCCCCATGGGCCAACTGTGAAAATGAAGGGCCATAAAGTGAAATGATCAGAGCCCCAGGCTCCACAAAATAAGCATCTTCTGGTCATTAAGCCCTGTAACACTCACAGGAGCCCCATAAGGTCAGGGCAGTTGTCACCACCATTTTGTAGCTGAGGAAACTGATGTTGCCTCTTCTAGTCTGTAAGATGTTGAGGATGATGCACAGGGGAGGGATCACAGCCAAGACTGTAGATGGCCATGTTATATTACTATTTGTGATTTAGAAGGAGACCCTCTCCAGAACCTTTCTCATGCTAGTCGGGCTACAAAAGCTGGAGAAATGGGCTCTCTATTTAAGTTTGGGATCCTTAGACCTCGGGGATGGGCTAGGGTGAGGTGGGGGTTGGGGTGGAGATGAGAGGGTGGTTCCGTCAGGCAGGGAAGGGGACAGGGCACCCACCAGTGGTAATATCGAAAGCGTGGCCTCCAGTTGGGTGTCCTCAGCAGCGTCTGCACTGCACAGGCCAGGTTCACAAACATGTAGCACATCAGGAAGAACCTAGAACACAGAAAAGCCCCAGGAGAGAGAGATGCAAAGGGAGGCAGAAATAGAAAGAGAAACATAAAGAAAGAAAGGGGGAAAGAGGATAAGAAATTGGAGAAGTGGTCAGATCACGTTCTGGTGCTTAGGAAGCGATTCAAAAGCCAAATCCCCTTACAACATACCCTGGCGCATGTGGGAATGAATCTCCACATAACAAAAGACGGACCATTAAACAACTGGGTGGCCTACCCAGGGTCACAACTGGAGGATCCAGGTAGAGAGACACCCCCCTTCCCCCAGAGCTGATGGGGAGGGCAAGAGGCCAGCACGCACATAGAGAGGATGGGGGCAACCTCGTCGAGGGATGCGATGAGGATGCCGATCTCGCAGATGCAGGCAGTCAGGAGCAAGGCCCACGTTGGCTCTCCATTTGCTTTGCCATGGCCAAAGACCTGGGGACAGAGCAACCATCATAGAGGTCTGAGATCTTAGAGACTTCTTGCCTCTCTTCTCCAGTCTTGGGAACTAGTGCAATAGAGGCAGGACTCCCCTAACCAGTGAGGAAGTAAGGAGAGGATGCTGTATTCCTCACCCTTTAGGGGTACCCAAGGGGATGCCAGGCTTTGGCTGTGTCTCTCCCACTCTGTCATTGGTACCTCAGGGCAATGAAGTTCGAATGATCCCTTAAGGGGAAAAGAAGCACCTGCGGGACAGATGGAGAAGAGCTACAGGGGCCAGCAAATGGCCATGACTGTGTGCTCCATAAATCTTTTTTTTTTTAAGCACCATGGAGAGAGCCACACTTTTCTTGCCCTTGGGCTGCCTCCCTACCTGATCACTCAGCCAAAGGAGGGCCATTTGTTTCTCCCCTAAGAGCAGACAACTCTGCCCAGAGTGATGGCACTGCCATGGGCCAAATCCCAAATAAGGCACACCCATTCTTAGTGGTAGTGCAGAGCGGAAGGGCCCCAGGGGGCCTTGCCTCACTGGGTGGTCTCTCTGGGCAGTGGCTTGGCTGGCTGGTGTAGTGGATGCGCTGCTCTTCCCACACTCCACCCCCCACTGACCTGCAGGAAGGGCACTATGCCATCCCGGGAGATGGCCTGCAGCAGGCGTGGGGCCCCCGTGAGGCTCTGCAGCCCAGCCCCACAGGTGGAGAAGAAGGATCCGATAACAATGACCCAGGGGGATGGCCAGGCCAGTGTGCCCACCACCAGATTGCCATTCACAGCTTCGCCAAACCTGGAATGAAGGGACAGGAGATGCTGGGTGAGCAATGCTGCCTCAATTTCCAGGGCACGTCTCCCACACCGACCTCAGGACAAGCTGTATGCCCACTGCGGGACTAGGCTCTAAGGGAGCAAGGGGGGAGACAAAGCTCCTAATGCCCTGGGCACTTTCCGTCTGTGTGACCTTGGGCAACTCATTTAACCTCTCCTTGCCTCAACTTTCTCAGCTGTAAAACAGAATCATTATAAACCCATCTCATGTGATTGGTGACAAGATAAAAGGAGATAACACAGGTAAAATGCTCAGCACCATGCCTGAAACCAGATCCTAAAGGGGTTACGGTAAATGGTCAATTGTGTAATATTACATTAACCTGGTAAAATCTCTTAGCTTGTTAGAACCTGTGTCTCCATCTGAAAAATGGGGTCCTGAACTCATGGTGTGGTCATGGTCGTGTGGTATGAGAATCAAAGAAAAGCATTTTCTAACAACGGCATTATCTTAAATTGAAAGATGCTGCCTTGGTCGGTAGAGAGAGCCCTGTGACTGGAGTGTGCAACCAGAGGTTATGCTCAAATGGGCCATTCCTGAAGGACTACAAGAATCAGATGAAGGGTTTTACTGGATGACCTGCTGAATCCCTTGCAATCCTGTGGGAGGTCTATGATTAAATGAAATAAGTGGAGATTAAGTTGCCCTCAAAAGTGAGTAAGTGTAATATATGCAAATTGTCCATTTGGCCAGGTCACTCCCCTACTTAAAACCTGTCAGGGTGCCCCTGATTTTCTATAAAATAAAGCTCTAATGTTCTGGTACCAAAAACCAGGCTTCCAAGACGCTCCAGCCTCATGTCCCCATTCCCCACCTTACAAAAGCCAGGACAGCACCATGGAAACTGTCTTCTGTGACAAGACCTCCTACTTCACCCTGCTGGTGGTGCATGCCCACACCCTTCAAAAGTGTATGCTCCAGCAGCTCTGAATTGCTTATAGCTACAGGCACCCACGTGCACATGCAAGCATGCACACACACACACACACACACACACACACACAGCTGGTTCTCTCCTCTACCTTTGTTCATGCTGTTCCCACCGCCTAGAATGTCCTTCCTACTCCTAGTCACCTAAGTAATCTCTAATCAACATTTAAAGTGAGAAGGATAAATAAGAAAATGTGCATAAGGCACTTCCAGCATCACCTCCTCCTCCCCAGCCCCCTGGGGACTGGATTGCAGTCTCCTGTGCACTACCAGAGCCCCCATACTTTACTTTATCCCACTCCTGATGCTCTGCATTCCGAGTCTGTTTGTTGAGTATGGTTACCAGCCCCCAAGAGCTCCTTCAGGACAAAAAGCATGGGTTATTTATCTTTATTCCCCCCAGAACTCTGGACAGCGACCAACACATAGACATCTAGGAAATGTTAAATGGGTTAATAGATTTTAAAGAAAAAAAAAAAGGAAAGTAGCATTATCCTCAAAAAAAAAAAAAATGAGACACCATCCAAGCTTCTTGAGCAATATAAAATATAATATAAAAAGGTGAATTTGCAAGCAATCCCGTGACCTCCCTCCCACAAGTCCCTTTGCACGGGCTCAGCACTCCCTGCTGGGTCTGTTTCCCAGAACTTGGCCCCCTATACCCACCACCCAGGACAGAATCAGCCCTGATTCCCTTACTTACTTGTCCCGCAGGACGACTCCCTCAATGCAGGCCCCAAACAGAACAACGGAGCTGATATCTGTAGCAGAGGATGAAGGAGAATCCCCAGGGTGACATTCCCCCCTTTCTCCTCCCAAGCTAGCTGGGTAAGGCAGCGGCGGAAGCTGCCCTCCCTCCAGGCCTCCCCGCCCAAGGTGGTCCCAGCCCAGCAGTGCAGGATACAGACAGCAGAAGTGGTGGCAATGGCCAGAATGGTGCCAGTGGGAATTGACTTCTGGGCATCCCGTAGGTCCCCGGAGCGGTTAGAACCAGCCATGATCCCTGTGAATAGAGGAGCAGCTAGGACAGGGTCCATAGGAGACCAGACAGAACAAGAAGGAAGGACACCAGCCCTGGAGTTGGGAAGCCTGGGATCTAGTCCTGGCATACCAACTGGTGTGAGAACCTGACCATATTACTTGGCTTCTCCTGGCCTTAATTCCCTCATCTGTGCAATGGGAATCCAGATTGTTGGCTCCTGCCTATGTGACGAGATTGTAGGACTAAGAAATTCCCCACATCATCATTGACTCTCTCTACCCATCACTCCCAGGCAGAGTCCTCCCTCTCTGAGCTCCCCTTCACCTGTGACTGAGGGGAAGTAGATGCCAACCAGCAGGGTGAAGTAGGAGGTCATATCGCTGAAGACATAAGGATGGTCCATGTCGACAGGGGCGCCCTCTGCCAGGCCCACCGAGGGCATCCCACGCCTCTCCACAATCACCCCTTTGGTCAAGTAGGAGCTCCAGAGGTTCTCTGTAGGAAGAGACAGGATGCTCAAGAGAAAGACCGGAAGTCAAGGTGCTAGAGCTCTAGGGCCAGGATGTGGGGTAGGCAAAAAAGTAGGGTCAAGGTCAACCACTTCTCACTCCCCTGGGGGCCTTGGTTCTATTTTATTCCCACCGTCATTTCCTAAGCTCCTGCTTTGGGCCAGGCCATGTGCAGATCTAGTCCTTGCCCTCAAATAGTCCTGTCTAGTGGGGTAAAAAACATATAAAGACCTATCTCAGACTGATTCAATATTCCCAAATTGATCTCAGCACCCAGCCACCTCAAATCAGCTCCTTTTCTGTATCCCTTATCTCAACAAATGGCACCACCATCAATTCAGACAGCGTCACTTTGCCTTCAACTGCTCCCCTCTCCCTCTCCATTTCAAAACCATCTCCAACTTCTGCCCACCATCCCTTCTAAATATTTCTCAGATATGCCCCTTCTCTCCTGTCCAGGGTTCCCTCACTTCTGCACTATTGACATTTTGGGCCAGATCATTCTTTGTTATGGAGGGCTGTCCTAAGCACTGTAGAATGTTTAGCAAAATCCTGATTTCCATGCATTAGATGCCAGTAAAAAGCATCTAGATGTGATAGCCAAAAATGTCTCCAGACATTGCTACATGTCTCCTGGGGGGGGAAACAACCATGGGGGAGAACCACTGCTCCACTCCCACTGACATCACTCCATCACTCTAGGTTAGAAAACCATCATCTCTCACCTGGACTCAGCATTCGCCTCCCCCTGGACTCCCTGCCTCTGTCTCTCTCCCTTTTACCTCATCCATATTAGCAGCCAGAATGAACCTTTAGAAATGATGAGCTGACCATGTCCATCCCTTATTTGAAACCCTTTGGTGGCTCCTCATTGCCCTCAGGACATGGTTCAAACACTTCAACATGGCTTCCAGGGCCTGCCACAATATGGCTTATACCAGCCTCTCTGACATCATTTCTTGCCCCTCCTTCCTCTGTACTTTATGCCCCAGTCATAACAAATTATTTGTGGTTGGAAGGACACAATATGCTCTTCTCTGTCTGCATGCTTTCAGGCAAGCTGTTCTTCTGCCTTAATTCCTTTACTCCCCTAGTATAACTCAAAATCTCTTATTTTTCCTTCAAAATCCTCTTCAGGTGAGTCTAGGAAGCCTTGTCTTGCCACCTTATACCATGACCACTTCCTCCCCTGTGAGGTCTCTGTTCATTGAATGCACATCTACTCATACCGTAATTTATTTGCTAATACATCTGTGTCTGCCATTAGAGTCTTTGAAGCCAAGGACTGTGACTTATTTATGTCATATTCCTGGCGCTTAGCACAGTGTTGGACACTAAGTAGATGCTTAGTGAATAGCTGTTAAACTGATGACTTTCTTTCCTACTAGGCGGTAAGATATTTGAAGGCTCCCTTTCATCTCTGTTCCTTCATGATGCCAAGGACAGGACATGGCCAGTGTAGGTGCTCAATTAAAACCGATGGCCTTTAAGTGAATCCCAAGGAGAGTTCCTTAATCCTGACCGTTTAACCCACAATCCCTGTAGTGTTCCCTGGACACCAGCCCTCTTCCCTCCCCCAGACCTTTGATGAGGCCACTGGCAGCGCCAGGGATGCCCTGGATCTCCGTGACATTGTTTCGGGTGAAGTATTCATCACAGGTGGCGTTGAGGAAACGGGAGGAACAGAAAAGGCCCCAGAGCCGTGTGGTCACCGTCTCATTTCCTTCCCAAGCCAGCTTGGCACAGACATCAAAGCCATGGCGAGACAGTGTGCGGTTCCCCAGGAGGCAGATCCTAGGGAGAGAAACAAGGGAGGAAGATGGGGGAGGGACATAACCTTGCCTTGGCTTCACAATAGAACCACCGGGGGGAGCTCTAAAAAACACAGATCCCAGGGCCCCGGATCCAGAGATTCTGATGTAATTGGGATGGAGCCCAGAATGGGTGTTTTTTCAAAGCTCCCCCAAGTGATTTTAGTATGCAGCCATCCCAAAGAAGCACCGTTTTAGTGCAATGCTATGTTTCAGCACCATGGACAGCAGTCTCTGTGCGTCATCCTGGCAGTGAGATGTAAGGGAATTTGTCCTTAAGAAAGAGGCAGAACCCACAGAGATCTGTGCCCCTAGATCCTCTTCTATGACCTCTCCCATGATAGAGAAGGTGTCCAACACTAGTAAGTTGTCCTATTCCAGGAATTTGTCACCACCCAGGAAATGCTTCCCTAACATAGAGAGTCATCCCTTCAGAAAGCGTCCCACTTGGTTCTTCCTTCCTAAGTCCACCCCACCTGCAAGGAGTTGACCCTCACAGGGGAAACTCTGCCCACCTCCAGAACATATTACCCCACCCTGTAGAGATTCCCCCCAAACCAGGAGAGATTTTCCCTCCCAAGGAAGTTTGCTCTGAATCCACAATCACTCAGATTCTGAGAGATGAGGAGAGGGAGGTTGGCAGAGGCTGACATTGCAGACCCTGAAACCGAGCCAGGGAGGAGGAGGACAATGCCTTAGGCTCAGAGCAACAGCACTTACGGGAAGTTGGGTGGGTCGAAGGCAGATTTGATGACCCCGGCATAGATGGCCAGGATGGAGAGGATGACACAACCCAGGAAGACAAGGGCAAACTTGTTGACATACTTGACGCCCACAAATACCACAGTGGCCATGCAAGTGAGCACACAGGTGCCATACACACGCATATTGTTCAACATAGCTGCTGCCTCCCCACTGGCATCTTCTGCCTTAAAAATGGCCATAGCTGGGAAGAGGTAAGCCTGTGGAAAGGGGGCAAGGAGGTCAGGTGAGTGACACAGCAAGAACCAGCTAAGAATCACCCCCAAGGATATAACCCAAAGTGCCGAAGCACTTTGGAAAAAAATATGCTCATCACAGCATATTTACAATAGTGTAAGACTGGAAATGACATCCAGTGATCATCTGTATTCTTTTTGCACATGTGTATTTTCTAAAATTTCCATACCAAATATTAATGTGTTTATATTCTTAGAAAAGTTATTTTCACTTGTAAATGATATTTGCAAGGGGAGTTTCTAGTTATTTAGGGAAACCTATAGAGTTCTATTTTACAAAGCAGAATACAGTATCACATAGTAAAACGAACAAAAAAAAAATAGAAGGAAATACACCAAAATGTTAATGGTGATTTTCTTTGGGCAATTGTTATTTCCCTTTTTACATTCTTTGGTATTTTTCTAATTTTATGCAATGGGCAGAATTGCTTTTATAATAATTTTTGAACTATTTAATTTTTTTAAGTCATGGAAGTCTACTATTATCTTCTCAGAATTTGGCTCCTTGGGTCATTTATTTGCCATCCATCCTCCCTGTCCCCATAGTCCTCCCTTTCTGCCCCCAAACCAGAAGCTGCATCTTTTAGTTCTAGTTCTCCAAGACAGTGTGGTAGAGTGGACAAGCACTGGCTTTGGGGTCAGAAAGGCATATCCCTTCCACATGTTCCTTAAAATCCTTGAACTCTGCTTTCCTCATCTGTAAAACGGGGACATTATCTAACCCATAGAACGGTTGTAAGGATAAACTAAAATGATAAATTGCAGGCCACGGAGCCTGGATAAGGTAGGGGCTTGGGAAATGTCAGCCCCACTTTCTATATACCAGGAAACCCTCCTCAGCTCCCACCTCCTCCTGGAGGGGCAGGAAGAGCCAAGACCCACATCAGCAGCCTCTCCTTCCAATACTGCCCAGCAACCTGACTTCTTCTCATTAGTCACTACTCCTAACAGCTCTCTTCATTCGGCCCCCTCACATCCTTCTTCTCTTTTGCAACCCACTGGTCATCAGCCCTGGATAATGAACATCCACAGAGAAATCAGAACAGTCCCAGGCACATGGTAGGCAATCACAAGATGCAGCTATTGTGTGATATTGGTTTTATTATTTCTACCATGATTTTACTCTTATCGACCCACCTCTGCCACTTGGTAGCTGAGCGACCTTGAGCAAGTCATGTCGCCTCTCTGAGCTTCTCATTTGTAAAATGGGCATAATAATACTTAATCCTCATGAGGATTCAAGATAATGACTGTAAAGCAATTGGAACTCTGCTGAGAGCACAGTGGGTGCCCAATGAACGACAGCTGTTCACGTTACGTAATTACTGTATCTTGTCTCCCCAGCTAGATTGTGGATTCTTTAAAGACAGAACCACATCTGATTTCCTTTTGGCCTCACTGAGGGCTTGGACCTCTCCCTAGGAGGTGTCCAGGGAGCATTGGTTAACTGACTGACAGCCTGGAACCCCACACCTCCTCCTCGGCCCCTCTCACCAGCAGGATTTCGATGGTGCCCAGGATGTACATGGCCCCAGCAAAGGTAGTGCCCAGGTAGAAGCAAAGGCCCACGGCGCCCCCAAACTCCGGGCCCAGAGACCTGGAAATCATGTAGTAGGAGCCGCCCGCTGCAGAAAGAACCTGGTGTCAGCGAGAAGTTCAAGGGGAGCTGGACTGCCACTGGGGGCGAGGGGGCTCAGGGACAGAGGTGAGAAAGGGGTTGTTCTGGGCCTCACGCCTTACAGGCTGCAGCCCTAGGACTGGTGGGAGACTCAGCCAGCCACTCTGAGTGGATTTTGCTGCACTAATTACCATGTTGCTAATTACCCCTCTAAGGAGGTCATGGCTCAGAAAAATAGGATGACAGAGAGGAGGGTCTCAGGCAAAGGGAGATCTCACATCGCCCTGTTCAACCCCATAAACTGCTTCCCTCCTTTCCCCTTAATACCACTGTCCCCACCTACCCCACCAACATCACAGCCCAGCCCCCACGTTCACAGTATTGTCTCTCTCGGTCCTGACGGCCCATAAAGCCTACGGTCCTATCCTTCCTTCCAACTATCCAGACCCCCCTCCCGACCATCCAGGCCCCATTCCCCTCCAAGAAGCCCCATCACATACCAGGTACAACACCATTGGTTGCAATTGCACTCATGGAGATGGCCGTGAGCATTGTCTGTGAGGAGAGAGATCATCAGAGTGGCAGCTAGGGCGGGGGCTGCATCGCCCTGGGTAAAGGCCAAACCTTATACCCCATAAACACCTGCCAAACCCACAAGTCCTTGCTGAGCTTCTCCCTGGTCCTATTCCAACTTCTACTTCTGCCAAAGTCCTTCTTGTCAAGAAAACCTCTTATTCACTATGCATATGGAAGAATCACAAGCTACTTGTGCTCATCAGAGAGCTCTGGAAATCCCAGCTTGGCCTCTGACCAGCTGTCTGACCTGGGACAAGTCACTTCACTTCTCTAAGCCTCAGTGTCTTTATCTAAAATATAGGTTTGCTGTGTTCCTGCCTAAATGCATACACTGAATCTGATCCTGAGCAGATATGTGACAAACCCAGACTGAGGGACATTATACAAACTAACTGATCCATACTCTTCTAAAGTGTCAGTGTCATGCAAGACAAAGAAGGAGGAGCTGTTCCAGATTAATGGAGGCTAAAATGAGCTCATAAATGAATATGAACGTGATCTTGAATTTTCTTCAGTTACCGAGGACATGATTGGGACAACTGGTAAAATCTGAATAAGGCCTACAGCTAAAACATGATTAGGGTGTCACTATTAAGACATCATTAATGTCTCAATGTTAGTTTCCTGGTTTTGATCATTGTACTGCGGTTATGTAAGGGAATGTCCTCATTTTTAGTAAACACACGCTGAAGGATTTAGGATAAAGAGGCATCACGTCTGCAACTTGCTCTCCAATTCGGTGGGGGGAAGGGTATTTACAGAGAGGATGGAATAAATACAATAATATGTTAACGTTTGTTCTACTCTTGCAAATTTTCTTTATGTCTGAAATTATGTCAAAATAAAAGTTAAAAAGAAATAAAATAGGCGTACTAGCATCAGTCCTGGCTACCACACATGCAGAGGTGGCTCTAGGGTCACGTGCGAGCAAATGGAAACGTGACGAGAGGTAGGTGTTTCGTAAATATTTGATTTTTTAGGGAGGATGGAAAGGATTCTGTTACAAAGCTGTTTGTGACACATACTCCCATTTTTTGTGAGCCTGGGCCAACCAAAATGTTAATGACTGCGGTTTTCCAGGTGCATTTGGTTTCCTTCGGTACGCCTATCTTTTTCATCAATGAATCTGCATTACTTGTGTAATTATACACACACTCACTCACTCACACACACACACAAACACAGATCCAGGTGAAACCTGGTTAGTGGCCATCAGGGACCAGCCTGTGAGAGGCAGGAAGGACCGGCCAGACCTAATTTACTCTCAAAGATCATACGCAGCAGTTCCTATAAAAAGCTCAGGTCTCATGCTTCCCCTCCTCCCTGCCCCCACCCCAGGTCTCTGCTCTGCCCCAGCGGTCAGGGGGTTGGGGAGGGGGAAGGTGTCACTCACACAGGAGCAGCAGATGAAGACCATGCAGAAGGCCTCCATGATGCCTGCAATGCCCACCACCCACGTGAGTCGCAGGAAGAGGATGACACCGAAGATGTTCTGCAGGCACGGGAGGTACACGCCCATGAAGGTGCCCATGCGTGGGGCCTGCCGAGGAGGCCAGCGTCAGTTCATGCAGCCCCTAATCACTGCAGATGCCCCAGACCCACTCCTCCCTGTTCTCCACCCCCCACTCTCCTCCTTACTCCACCCCCATCTCTTCATCCCTCTTCCCTCTGGTGCTCACCCCCCTTCCCTCTCCCCTCCTCCTTCCATCTCTATCCCTCATCTCCCAACCCTTCCTCACTCTCAGCCCCTTACTCCTAGCCCTCTGCCTCCATCATCCATCCCTTCAACGGACACTCTTTTGTATCGCCATCCTTTGTCCCCTCCACCCCTCCTTCCTCCCTCATTCTTTTTCCCCCAAAGTCCTCACCTGCACTGGCTTCTTTTTTCCACCCTCATTGTTTTCTGCCTCTTCATGCTCCCTACTTCCCTGGGGCAGGTTGGTATAGTTGGCCAGGCCACTGAGCAAGGAGGACACCATGGGGCTGGTGTCCATCTCCTCCTGTGGAGGGAGGGTGGCAGTGGTAAGACACAAGGGCCTAGGGGAGGGACAGGCGAGCTCCTTCGTAGGAGGCCAGGAGAGATGGGGGCAAGGATGGCAAACCACTGGGGCTGGGATGCCATGGGGAAGGAGGAGGAATAGGCATGGAAAACAGGGAAAGAGGATGGCGGGGTAAGGAGAGGGAGTAGCAGGGGTGACGGGAAGGAGAAGGTGGACCTGAGGAGGATGTGGAAAGAAGGACACCTCCTGAGGGAGGGAGGGATGGCAGATGAATGGGGAAATGAACTGGAGAGGGGGGCGCACCCCAGCAACCCACCTCAAACAGGGCCATGTTCTTGCCATCGTACTCCCTTCCCTTCTCTGTGTCAGTGCTGTTGATGAAGGGGCTGCTCTCCTTGGGGTTGCCATCACCTGAGAAGGCAGAGGAGTTAGGGGTCTAGCACCAGCTGGTTGTCATCCCTTTGCTTGCGCATCCAGCTGTGTGGCCACTGGAACTCTCTGAACCTCCGTTTCCACATCAGAAAAAGCTGGAGCTAACAGTAGCCCACTGCAGTGTTTTCGTTGGCAGCACGTATAAAGAGCCCAGTGCACTCCCTGGCACATACTACGTTTTTAATGAACATGTGAGTGCTTCCTTGCTCTTGGGGGTCCTTCTTCATTCACCAGGGCACCCAAGACTCGCTGGGTTCCCCTCCTTGACCATACCTGGGACCATGCTGGTGTTCTGTGGTGGAAGCATGCTCTTTCCCAGAGGCAGCGATAGAGAATACTACAGCCAGAGGCCCAAAGGATACTCCATCTCTTGGAGAAGTGACCCATTTGGCATCTTCTATGCTCCTCATGCATCTTCCATCAACACATATTCACTGGATCTCTCCCATGTGCCAGTACAAGCATGGGGAGGGAGCGGAGAGTAAACACAGACCAAGACACTGTCCCTGCCCTCAGGGAACCCACAGGCAGGAGAGATAAACTAGTATCCAGGACTTTCCAACCCAGAGTGGTAAATTCTGTGATAGAAGATGAACAAGGGACTGTGGGAATATAGGAGAGGCATTCAGCCCAGCCTGGGAGGTCACGGAAGCCTTCCCAGAGGAAGTGACGAGTAGGCTGAAAACTGAAGGATGAGTAAGAGCTAGACTGGGAGGGGAGGCGGGAGGATGTTCCAGGCAGAGAGAACAGCATGTTCGCTGTCCCAGAGGGGAGAGTGAACAGAGTGGGTCAGAAATGCTGAAAGAAGTTTGATCTGGCTTGAGTCTGAGGAAGGGGCATGGAGAGAGGGGCTGAAAGGTGGAGACTGACTTAGGAAAAGATGAGCCTCGGAAGGTGTGGGCTGGGTCCTTAAATGATTAGCAGACCGTATTAAAGGTTTTGGCCTTCATCCAGAGGACAAAGGGAAGTCATCGAAGAGTTTGAGGCAAAGAAGTTCCGTGAATGGTGTCCTGTTTTAGAGCAATCACTCTGGCCTTTAGATGAAGAATACAGATGCTAGTTTGAGAATTTAAGCAACCCAGGCAGGGGCTGATGATGACCCAGACCAGAGCAATGCAGGGCAATGGGCAGACTCAAGAATTACTGGCACATATTTCTATGCCAGATGTTTGGGGATGTGGGAAGGGGGAATCTAGGGTAATGCCTGGGGTTTCTAGCATAGGTTAATGGGTGAGTGATGGTGCTATCTAATAAATGGGGGAAGAGAAGAGATTGGGGTGGGAAGATGCTGAATTTGATCGACGGTAAGGTAGAATAGGACACTCAAGCAAGTATGTCCAGAAGCCACTTGAATATACAGAGTGGGGCCCAGGAAAGAGGCTGGGCAGAGAAAAGATGAGGGTAACCCATGAGAATAGGTGGAGGAAGTGTGTGAAACCGTGCATCTGGATGAGATCACCCAAGGAGAAAGGCTCTTGGGCATCTAGGAGAGGTCCTTTCAAAGAGATATAGGGGAGGGCGCCTGGGTGGCTCAGTTGGTTAAGCGACTGCCTTCGGCTCAGGTCATGATCCTGGAGTCCCGGGATCGAGTCCCGCATCGGGCTCCCTGCTC